TGAGTGGAAAGGACACCTTACGTCACCAGCAGCATTTTCTCTAGCACCTTGGTCTCTCAGCCAAGTCCTGAGCCAGCCTAATCGTGCTGAGCGTATGAGGTTGGACCCTGAAGGACCTGTGCTCCAAAGTTCAAATTACAATCCTAGAGACAATAAATAACCACTGCCAGGGCAGCTGCTCTCTAGCAAATAGGAGGACATCAGTGTCAAACTAGTGGATTGATTTGCATTTATTGAGCCCGGCTTCCAGTCCACCTCAGCTGGAAGTTGCTGCGGTACTTGGGAGCATATGAAGCTGGACAGCACTGATGTCATTTGAAATAGCTCCTTGCCCTCTGTTCCCAACATAGATGTGTGATGAGTTTGCGATTCCACATTTCAGGGGATAGAAGTGGGCAGGGAAGAGACCATTGCACAAACAAACCCCACTCAACTTTAGCTGAGAGTTGTGTGTTCTTTATTACAACAAGCTTATAGTTTATCAAACAATTTTTACCATGAAAAATCTCTCTGAAGAGAGAGCGTGTGAAACTTTTCCAGAAAGAAATACCTTGGAGCTGTATGGAAGCTGGAAGAAATTAGTCTGAATTTTGTCAACTGTCAAAACACACAGAAAGCCTCTTCTGCCCTTCTTCCAACAGTAACTTAAAACCCTACAACGCCAAATAGTGCCCATGTTTGTGTGGTGCTGCTGAGCCTACAGATGGTTTGTCCATGCACCTGTGAACTTTGGTGCTTTTCTGATTCCCAAAAAGCAGCAGCATAGGTTAATAGTGTTCAATATTAGTGCAGCAGGAACTGCCCTCACCCCTCCCCAGCTGATCCCCATGACTCCAGGCGTCTGTGTAGGCAGCGCTAAATATCCGTTCACCTCTAAGCTGGATACGGAAGGAAGGTGAAGTAAGGGAAGCACCGAAATCTCTAATCTATGGGAACAGGAAATAAATAAATAGTCTAAACGTACAGAGTAAAAAATGTACCTTATACAGTAAAGGCTGAAGTGTATATTTTAAATTTCCTATAGAGGAAAATTGCTACTGAGGCACTTTGAGAGTGGGTCGTGTGACTACCACCTGTGCAGTGTTCTTCTAAGCTCTCCTAGATGGGAACAGAGTTCCGTGGATGTACTACTCACTGATGAGCTTCCTACAGGTATCTGAACAGAATGGTCGCAGCAGAGGCATTTAAAAGGGAGAATTCATTGTTCTGGTTTGGCTCTCAGTTGTCAGCAAATTTGATGGAACATTCCCATTTAGTGTTTACAGTTCTTTCCTCCTCCTACCCTTTCCCCCCCCCTCACTCCTGTGGCGCTCATGATGGGGGGGTGTCATCTTGCCCCTCAAGTCTCGCTTCAGGTTCCTTCTCAGAAGCAGCAGCTTGGTTTCCTGTAAACCGAAAGGAAGAAAGAGGGATTAAACTTGCAACTAAGAGAACAAAAGGTTACTCACTTCAGCTGTAATGCCACTGCTTTTAGAGTACATCTACACTGCAAAAGAAAACCCACAGCAGCAAGTCTCAGAGCCCACATCAACTGACTTGGCGTGAGGGGCTCACCCTACTGAGTTAAAAATAGAAGTGTAGACATTCCCACTCAGGCTGGAGCTCAGGGACTGAGACACCCCCCCCCCCCTGCTGGGTTTAGTGGCCCAAGCTCATGCCAGAGCAGGTCCTGGAGAAGTGGATGGAATTTGCAAGCTTCTGGGTTATTTTCAAGGAGAGACTTGGACCAGCGATTTCGAACCACTCCAGGGCTGTCTCTTGCTCGCTGGCTGGTGGTAGAGTAGAAGGGGCTTCAGGCTGTAGGCTCTGATCCCACTGTACTTGCCTCCTGCAGCTTGGGAACTTCACTAGAGGGAATGAGAGTGGTTTTCTACCATGGTTTTCAGTTAAGCATGTTGTTTCCAGAAGCCATTTTGGGAAGAGGGGATGGAGTGCCCCAAAATGTTAGCCTCCCTCTTTCATGATCCAAAATAGCATGATGTATATCTGTCCCCTCTACAGGAGACTGAGGCCCTTCTCCTTTCTAATGAATGAAAAGGAGCATTGATAAGACTTCCACTAAAAGAGAAGCCATGAGTTAGGTTGAAGCTTATACCCCTTCCCTCACTCCCAACCACCACCAGCAAACTACTTCTGCTGTGCTTGTATAGCCAGCTGTTTTATGTACACAGCCATGTGCCCAAATTCAAAGGTGTGACCAATAAAGACTAAATCTTGATTGCACTGAAGTCAGTGGCAAAGCCACCATTGACTTCATTGGGGGCCAGATATTGGGCCTAAAACATGGGTTCTCAAACTGGGGGTCGGGACCCCTCAGAGGGTTGCAAGGTTATTATGTGGATGTCATGAGCTGTCAGCCTCCACCCCAAACCCCACTTTGCATCCAGCATTTATAATGGTGTTAAATTAAAAACACGTTTTTATATATTTATAAGGGGGGGGGTCGCACTCAGAGGTTTGCTATCTGAAAGGGTTCACCAGTACAAAAATTTAAGAACCACTGGCCTAAAAGCAGCAGGCTGTATGCTGCTGAATGCAACCTCTAACATGCACCAAACTGCAAAAGGCTATTCTAGAAAGAGGGAGGAGGCTGGGTGCGAAAGTAGGTTTTAGGGGGTTGAGATGACGTAACTGGAATGCTTAGATAGGGCAGTGCTAGAGCAATGATCGCTTTCTAAGCGGGGGACATTGCACTTACGAGGTCACACAAGGAAGCAGGGTGAGTTCTTTTGGATGTCTTCTGAAACTCCTGGTAGCTGGCTGCCAATATATTTGCTCTGTGGCTGCTGGATCACATTAGAATCCACTAGTAACATGCTTAAAGGGTAAAAAGTGTTTGAAAACACATTTTTATCCCTCTTACAAATCAACATTCAGAAGATCAAAATGGAAGGAATGTTACAAACAAAGTTTACTGTCACCATTTGTGCTGTTTACACAACAGGCAGGTAGACTAATCAGTTTCCCTTTGCTTTGAGTGGGTTTCACTTTTAGGCTCCCTGGCCTTAGTACACCCAGCTGG